TAGACACCTTATAAGTCAGTTCCACTAAGTCTCTGAACTCAGTTGAGTCAAACTTCTTTCGAAGCCTAAACTCTAAACCATTTTGAGCCAATCTCACGAATTCTGGCTCTGGTAGGATAATCCTACATTTGTTTCGAGCCCTTTTAAATCTGGCAATAAACTGGGTAGCCTTCTCATCAGGCCTTTGACTCAATCTTGCCAAGTCTGCCATGGAAACCTCTGGCTTCGATTGGAAGAATTGGGCATAAAATGCCTCTTCCATTTGTTGTCACGTTTGGATAGAGCCAGGTGTAAGGTTAATATACCATACAAATAGGTTGATGTACCATACAAATGCTCCCCCCGTTAGGGAATTTGGAAATAATCTCAGTTTCATATAGTCATGGTTAGTAAATTCACCGCATTGAGCAGCAAACCTGGCAATATGTTCTATCGTTGATTGATTTCCAGTCCCATAAAAAAGGGTAAAATCTGGTATCCTGAATCCCCTTGGGTATTCATGTACCCTATCTACCCATTCTGGGTATGGTTTTCTGTATATAGGAGTCTGGACCCCCCGAGCCATTGGTCCACATATCTCCCTAACAATATCAGCAATCTGGTCTCTAGGGACCATATTTTGTGCCTGTTGAACCACTACTGGAGGGGCAAACACAGGATTTGGTGGACAAACTTGTGCTTGTGGTCCTCTTGGTCCATAAGGTGGTAAATTTGGGGCTGGTTGTCCTTGCGGTGCAGGTTGCTGTTGAGGGTATGGGTAACCTCTTTGAGCATGACCTGCGAAAGGACCTGCAAAAGGTGCTGGAACAGGTGTTGTGTCTCTGCCATTTGTAGGAAAACCCTCCAACCCCCCGGGTGTAAATTCGAATAAGGGATTAGTGTACCCCCTTGTGCCAGGTATGGCTTCGAACATGGGATTTGTAACCATTCTTATGCCAGTTTCTTGTACTTGGCCAGATCCACCAACCTGTGTGACTTCATTATTAAGTACTGAGGCATTTTGGCCTGCTATAGGCCTTGAAATAGGTTCATACCAAGACTGAGGTGATGGTCTTTCATAGTTCTGATTACTAGTTTGACCATTAGAATGTCCATTAACTTGTATAGGCTGTTTATCTCTAACCAATCTTTGTTGAGGGACGGTTAAAACTTCCTCCATGTGTCTTGCGTTTGTTAGTTGGTGGTTATTCATTCGATCCAAAAAGGATCTTGCCCACCTTTCCATCGTGTTCATTAACTACTGTCCCATGGCACCTACTAGGCCACCCCATGGATTTATTGGCTGAGTAAATGGAACAGTGGATGGTCCAATTCTTTGGTTTCGTCCAGTATTATGAACATATGGTACTTGTTTTGAAGTGCTGGTCTGTTCGACCATAGGTTCTGATAAAATGGGAGTTTCTACAGGATGTGTTATCATATTATCCTCTGGATTAGGTATCTCTACCTCTCCTTCTACGCCTTCCTCCAAGCGTTCAATTTCTCCTTGTCTCCTACGTCTAGCCATTTCAATTTGTCTCACCGGGCGTGCCAAAAATATATGTTGGCTTTTTGGCTTTCGAAGGTTATTTTTGTAATTACGAGCGTGCCAGCAAGGATCAATCAGTCCTTACGGAAAATTAATTGCCAACCAATTATCAGACGATTATGTTTTAGTTCTTTCAGCCTCAATGAAGAGGACTTTTACTAGGGGCTTGATTTAGAAGAATTAAACAAGATAACAATTAAATGAAGAACAATTTGAAGCATTTCATTAAAATGAAAAACTTACAATGATCCAAACTCAGCCTCGTAGAGGTTTACAGCAACAATCTACTACTTGAAACTACTCCTATGAACGAAGTGCAGTGCAAGAATTTAAAGTACAAGAATGTAAAGAACAGGAAATGTAAGACTAGAAATATAAAACTGAAAAGGAAAATAAGTAGAATAAGACTGGTTTTTTGGATCTGAGTCTGAGGCTTTTTCTGGGGCCTTCTCTGCTATTTACACTTCTCGAGGATGACCATTGAACTGTATTTCCAACCATCGAACGGCTCCTCCATGATCGCTAATCATGTTGCCTTATAATTAGCTCCATTGTGCCATCATTTGCGGTTTGGCTTCCCTCCTAAATTTGAATTTAAATGTGAGTAACCGTTGAAGCCACATCACCTTGCATCTCTTTGCTAATCCATTGCTACTCAGATCTCGTGATAACCAATACTAACTGTCACGTGTACGATCAGGATCAAAGACTTGAATAGTCTTCCTATATTACCCTTATTCTGCCACGCGTCGAATTGTAATTGGCTTGTACAAAATATGTAGCCAACAATTCTACTTCATTGTGTTAAGAGATTTATCTCACATCTTTTGTTTAAGTTATTCAAACACAGTCTATATAGTTTGGGAATAAATTATAAATATATTTGATGAAATTTACTTAAAATACGAATTGTGTTACGTCATACTCTTCAAAATTTCAAATTTCATAATAAATAAAAGTAAATTAATCTTTTTAAACGATGTCAGAAATATGTTTTAATTAATAATTTTTTTAATTAATTTTATTATATAAAAAATTATGATAATAAAGTATTTATAATTTTTTAAATCATCAAAGACAACTTGTATTTTAAATAAATTTTAAGGGGTATATTTGTAATTTATCCATATCTTAGAGACTTTTTCACTAAACAATATCAATTAATTTTGAATTAAATTTCTAAGAAATACATATATGTATAATTAAACGTGAATAATTAAATCTAAATATTGTTATTTCGCTTTGATTTTTTTTTCCTTTTTTTAAACATTCATCTTGAACTAGAAAGGGTTTTTTTATTGAAAAATCTCATTTAGATGTATTCTAACCTAATAAATCCGCTAAGGAAAATTATAACCTAGTTAGTCCTATGTATTTATGTTTTTATTCCATGAGATCTTATTTTCCTTATTTGTATTGTTTGTTGGACTATTATACCCTTATGTCTATTGTTGATATGTATTACATATATATATTTTTGCTATCTCTATTTTGGTAGTTATCATTATTCACATTTTTCTTTTTGATCAGTTTTATTTACATTTATGATATTGTTTCATTGTGCTAGGGTTTGAAACTCTCTATTTGATAGAGTTTATACTACAAGAAAAGTGCGCTTAAAAGACGGAATTTTTTGCGACGGCAAAATGTGCCTTTTTGAGATGGCACAACTTGCCGTCGCGAAAAATGAGAGTATTTGCGACGGCAGAAAATGCTGTTGCGAAAAATGAGAGTATTTGTGACGGCAGAAATTGTTGTCGCAAAAAAAAAAAGAGTATTTGTGACGGCAGAGATTGCTGTCGCAAAAAAAATAGAGTTTTTGTGACGGCACCAGCTGCAGTCGCAAAAAAAAATGAGTTTTTTGCAACTGTAATAGGTACCGTTACAAAAAAAAAAGCAAAAACAAATACATATATATATTGTGTCTTTGAGACGGCTTCATATATATATATATATATATAGTCACAAAATTGTTTAAATAAATGCAACGGTATTTTTCTGTCACAAAAAATAAAAAATAAAAAAAATGACGTCATCTTACTCTTTTGATATAATATTTCTCTTTTCACCCATTTTTTCATCTTCATGTCTCTCTGTCTCTGTCTCCCTTCTCTTTCTTTCTCTCACTCATCACTCTTCTCTGTCTGTCTGTCTGTCTATCTGTCTCTTTCTTTCTCTCTATGTCTCTGTCTCTATCTATGTCTCTCTTCTCTTTCTCTCTCTCACTCATCACTCTTCTTTGTCTATCTGTCTCTCTCTCTCTCTCTGTGTGTCTCTCGCTCATCTCCCTTCTCTCTTCTTTCTTCTCTCTCTGTCTGTCTCGCTCATCTCTCTCTCTCGCTCATCTTTTGTTTTTCTCTTTTTTGTCTCTCTCTCTCTCTCTCTCATTCATCACTCTTACATCTCTCTTTCTCTCTCCGTTTGTCTGTCTGTTTGTCTCTCTCCCCCACTATGTTCGCCATGCTCACTTTCTTTCTGCCCTCTTCTCTATTTACCGAGCTCCCCCTCGATTTATTGATCCACTACAAGAAAATGCACTTTTAACGACCACTTTGTCTCTATCTCACTCATCACTTTGTCTCTGTCTCTGTCTCTGTCTCTCTCTCTCTCTCTCTCTCTCTCTCTCTTCTATCTCTCCCTCACTCATCTCTCTCTCTCTCTCACACCACTCATCTCCTCTACCACCTTCACCACTACTGCAAGTGTCATTCCACTACCACCACTGCTACCACTGTTGCCACTTCACCTCTACAACTACATTACTATCACCATCGCCACCACTCCACTACTACCACCATCACCACTACTGCCACTACTACTACTATTACCTCTCCTTCACCACCGCCACTCCATCTCCTCTACCACTACCACATCTTCACCACTAATCTCCTTCGCCGCCGCCGCCACCACCACCATCACTTCTTATTCACCACCTTCACCACTACTGCTGCTCCATCTCCTCTACCACCACTACAACAAGTTGGGCCTTGAGTGACGAAATTTTTTTGTCTTCAAAGAGCTAATTTCGTCACTATAGATATTTGTGAGGAAATATTTTCGTCACCGGTTTCGTCATTGAATGTTTGTCACTAAAAACCAACGTGTTCACTACTTTTCGTCACCATAGGTTACTTTTCTTGTAGTGACAAAAAATTAGTTCCTGATTTATAGTAACCAAAAAAAATGGGCCGCAAAAAAATATTTTTCATTGACCACAAAAAATTAACTTTATTTTAATAGAAAATATTTTTCATTAAAATATTACCCTTTCTTCTACCAAATAAAAAATAATATCATTTTTTTTCATTAAAATAAAAATGAAACAAATAAATTTTTAATGAAAAATCAAAAATCAAAAAAAAAATTCATTAACTAAAAAAATGAAAAATAAAAAAAATAAATTCATTAACTACCCAAAATATATATATTTTTTAACAAAAAAAAATGAAATTCTTTTCGTTTTCCTGCAATTTCTATCTAAATTCCCCCATTCATTCCCCCCTTTTGTTTCTCACGATCTGAAATCCCCAATCCCTAACCTAACACTCCCTCGTCGTCGAGACTGGTTCCCAAGCCCGATCTCTCCCAAATCTTCTTCTTCCTCTCCTCTCGCGATTCCTGGATTCACGTTCTCGAACAGATTGCCAAGGGCGATCTCAAATACCCTCTCAAATCCGATTTCATCAAACTCGTCTTCACCTTCGACAAACTCCAAACCTCCGATTTTTACTTCTCCAAAATCAGTCTCACCAATCCCAATCTATTAACTCTCCTCTGCTTGAGGTCGAGGTAATATCGATTTCTCGCTCTATATATGCATATATGTGTGTGTATGTGCGCGCGCACTCATGAGAGGATTGAGATTTATGGTGTTTGGTTTGTGAGCAAACTCAAATTTCTAATTTCAAGAGTTGTTCTTCTATTTAGTTCAACGAATAAGCTCTACACTTTGAGAGTCGAAAACACTCTAAGAGCAAAACTTCGAGAACGAAATTCTAGGGTTTTTTCCTTACATTTTTGTTCGATTTCGAAATGCATAAGTTGGTAGGGTTATCAAGCATGAGGAGCTTGGATCAATTCAAGTCGTTGTCAGGATCTGTTTCAGGAGCAGCCAAAACCTACTCGATTTCTTCACGACCATCCTCAGATTCGGTTTCGTACGGTAAGTGTTCTTGTTCTTGTTCTTCATCTGAGAGATAGAGACAGTAATTGTTGATCCAAAATGCATTCGAATCACTTGCTTCTCGAAGAACCTTTACGGATGGCTTCAATCCTTGAGCCTTCCAAGCCTGTATGTTACACAAATCCTACTGATCTCACTTATATTCTCCTTACTACTCTAACCTACATGTTTCTTTGCGTTTATACTCCTTTTTTATGATCAATTTGAATTTGAATTTTTTAGATATTTTCATGCAGTTTTGCTACTTTTATTTTTTTTAAAATATTAAATTTGCTAATTTAAAATGAACTAGGTCCTAAAAATCTCCAAGAGTCTATGTTTGTTTGTGTATTTTCTCTAAATTCGTAAATGTACATACACACACACAAACACATAATTTATTTATTTATTATTTATTATCTGCCCAAGTAAGTTGTTTTTGAGAGTCTTCTTTGAGATAGCATAGCTTCTATGTGTACTTTGACCAACTATCTGCACAACTGATGTGATTAATTTTAATGATCATATGGTTTTTAGGGGCACTTTTTCTGGATACAATATGAATATCAAGAAAATAGTGGTATTAATATCCTTGAATTGCCCTTATTGTTCACCTTTTTTACTGTGCTACAATATCTCCTAGATAGATATATAATGGTTATACCTGTATGAATATGTATTCATGGCAATAGCATGAAAAGATGACACTGTATTGTTTGATCATGTTTTGGTTTTCTGCCCTTGTGTGGATATGCCTGGATATAGCAATAATATGATCAAACAAAACTCAAAATTATTCGGAGTTCAAATTATTGTAGGTTATTTACTCAGCAATTCGTGGATATGCTTTTCAAGTAGGAAGTTGTGCGTTACTGTGCTCTTAATAGTGAATTTATCGGACTATGCCATCCAGTTACCTATAAATGTTTCTTTCCTTCCTAGGATGATATAGATGCTGAAGAAATTGAATAAACAACTGAGTGGTGAGGATTGGACATGGAACAACTTAAACACATTATGTTGGGCAATAGGATATCTATCTGGGTCCATGATGGGCACAACCTTACTTTCATCAATAGCTCATGTGAGTTGTCCTTTATTTACTTAATTTAAGTCCTTGCAGCTCTGGACTTAATCATAGTCAAAAGTATGTATAAATTTTATCTCATGGAAGTGTTTTTTTTTTTTTAAATGCACAGGCATTGTTTTATGGCCTGGCATGGGCTTCTTGGGTATGTACTCTTATATAATAAATGTGTAGTTAACATCAATTTTGAAACTACATTCTGGGTAATTACATATTCCACCGTTAAACTTCCTCCTAAAATTTCAATTTAGTCTCTCATTTTTAGTTGAGACGACCTACATCATTATTGTAATTTAGGTTCTAATTCCTTGTAAAAAATACAAGAAAATTTATTTTCTCACGAAAGTTGTTATATGTTATAACTTTCTCTCAAAAAAATTATCTTAACCAAACACATACTAAAAAAATAAATTTTCATTTAAGGTGTTGACTCCCCAAAATCACCAAACTGTATCGGAGTAGCACGAAACTTGGCACACACCACTGCCTAGGCACGAGAGACTTGTGGGAGAAGACAGGACTCAAATCGAGTTCTTGGTTTGGGAGTTAGGCCGGATTTCACTCTAGGCAAACTAGTTTCTTAAGAAACTTAGAATTCGAGGTGTTAATACTCCAAAATCACCAACCGATGTCGGAGTAGCACAAAACTTGGCACACACGACCGTCTAGGCATGAGAGACTTGTGGGGGAAGACGAGACTCGAATCGGATTCCCGATTTGGGAGTTAAAGTCGGATTTCACTCTATGTGTGACAACCCTCACCACTGTTTACTGATAATACTACTGATTACTGCTAAACTGTGACTAAATATGATTAAGTAACTGATTGAGTGAAATTCTGAACTGATTGATTGAGTGCATTAGTTTAAATGCAAATCTATCTGTTTGACTATTAATTGATCTGTTCATGTTTTATGTTTTAAACTGCAAATTGAAGGCCTTATCGGCGGCCGAATCTGAAACTGACTAGTGTTTTATGCTAATTAGAATTAATGTGATTTTATGATAAATTTAGTTGAAATTTGATTTGGTATGATTAAATTAGATTAAAAAGTTGTATTACATCAATTTGAGTTATTTACCAAATTGCCATTAGTGGACAATGCTAGACCATCTATTAGTCTTGATTTACCTAGGCTTGGCATCACATTTCTTCAGCCCATTTCTTGAGCCAAACCGACTAGAGGGAGAGAGAGAGTTAGGAGAGCTTTGGTTTCAACAAAATTTGCTTGAGACATAGAAGATTTGAAGAGTAGATTGCATAATTGAGCTTCTAGACTTGAAATTGAGGACATAAGGTAGGATATTCATCTTCTCCATTATGAATTTGAGTTACTTCTTGCATGGTTCTTGGTGAATTAGAGTTTAGAGTCAAGATTTGGTTTAAAATGTTGAATTGAAGCTTAAATCATGCATGCATGTATACATTGTTGAATTTTGAGGTTGTTTTCTTAGAATCCTCACACGCATGTCCATATTTGGGTTATAGTTCATGAACTCATCATGTTTTGGAGTGAATTGACTCATTTGATCATGTATTGGAAGCTTTGATCTCAATTGAACACTTGCATGTTTTATGTTCATCATGATCATGAAGTTTTGTTTGAAAATGGTGTTCAATGGACTCACCATTGGGCTTTGATCTTACAAATTGATCTTCAAAACATGTTATATTATGGGTTTAAAGTGTTTTTCCAGAAAATGGGCCCAAGAAGTTGAGTTTTGATGTGTTGAAGTTGAATTTTGAGCTTGAGGTTCAAATCTGGAAATTCTAGATTTTGGACTCACACTCGAGCGAGGAACTCCACGCTCGAGCGTACGGTTGTGTTCATGCAGTCCGCTCGAGCGAGAAAATTGGCGCTCGAGCGTGAAATTCGTGTATCCAGTACTTTGCATGTGTTTACAGTCCGCTCGAGCGAGAGAATTCACACTCGAGCGAGGACTTGTATCTCACGTGTCTCACGCTCGAGCGGGGGTCGAGCGCCCGTCGAGCGTGAATTTCATGCATCCAGTACTTTTGCAGTCCGCTCGAGCGAGGAAAGTCAAGCTCGAGCGGAGCTCCTTTGTCTGCATGTCCGCTCGAGCGTAGAAAGCCACGCTCGAGCGAGACCCCTGTTTTCTGAAAATTCTGAAAAGTGTTTTAAAGTGCATCTTTGCATCCTTATTTCATCCTAGGCATTCCTAGGCCTAGTTTAAGGCATCTTAGTGAGGATATTGATGTAGAACCACACCGAGTCAAGATAGGGACTATGTCATTGATTCCCAAGTATGTAACTTAGTGTGTGTTCGTTCTGTAACTGTGTAGGGTTGGCATCCGAGGACGCTCACTAGCCTATTTGTAACCCATAACTCTGTGAGTAACAATGTTGTAAAGATATATTCAATCATGAATATTTTCTGAATGATCAACTGTACTGCTTTCTGAAATGATATTTCTTACTGAATGAATGCTTGTCCTATTTGCGAACTGTATTCGTGGCATCCATAGCAATTTACTGTTACTGTATTGTACTGCTACTGTCACAGAGATCTCTGTCGGTTCCCATGTTTGGAACCACTACTGTTTACTGATATGATGGCCATCAACTGACTGTTCGGTCTGTTAAGACCTACTGTCTATGGGATGTACCACATATGACTGCTATGACTGAATGACTGATATACTGTTATAACTGACTATTTTAAATACTGAAAGGACATTCATTCTTAACCTCTTTACGCATATGTTATTTACTGGGTTTTAGCTTACTGTTTATATATATATGTAGGCGTCCAGGCACCGGATCGGAGCTAGAGCGTTGGGTTAAACGCCTTTTTTGTCAAGCCAACCAACGTGCCTCACTGCGAGGTTCCAAGTGTGTTCAAGCTTAGGCTTTTTGGGGTGTCTTAGTTCACCCTCCTGTCTCTGTTTTGTAATACTGTATAGACCGATGTACCTGTACTGTACTGTTATTGTAGGGATTTGGTCCCTAACCTGAATGGTTGTATATGTATGTACATACTGCTTTTGTTCTGAATGTGAATGTGTTATAAAAGTCTTTTTGTATACAGACTGTCACAGCTCATTAGACATCTTTTATTACTGTTTTGGCTTCCGCCAGCCCCTGTACTATGTATTACTGTCTTTACTGTTAAGCAGGCCTTCGGTAATCACGAATTACTGGCCGGTTACGGTGCTAAACCCATGGGGGCAGGTTGGGGTCGTGACACTAGGCAAACTAGTTCCTTAAGAAACTTGAATTCAAGGTGTTGACGCCCCCAAAATCACCAAACAGCGTCAGTTTAGCACAAAACTTGGCACACATGACCGCCTAGGCACGAGAGACTTGTGGAAAAAAACGGGACTCCAATCGGGTTCCTAGTTTGGGAGTTAGAGCCGAATTTCTATCTAGTCAAAATTATTTACTTAATTATCTTTGTAATTATATAGTAATTAATTTTTTATATTTTTTTGTAATTAAGATATTAACACATAATTATATTGTCATTAATTATTTTTATTTTTTGTTTTCAGATATTTCCCGAGTAGCAGTTTGCTTCTTGTGGAATGCAGGCGTGTGAAGATTGCGACTAACTTTTGTTTTTGTTATCCACAGAAGAATCATGAGGAAAACTTTTGTTTTTTATTTACGTTATTTTGAATTATGAACAACATTATGTATTTAAACATTGTATATGTATTATGCAACATTATGTAGTGGGATAATTTTACTGATGTGTTGTTATGAATGGAAGAATATTTTTATTATGGATGAATTGCTATTTTTATACTGAAATTTTTATATTATTATCTAATTATTGGTTTCTTTTTCAGTTATTTTTCATTTAATACAGGAAATTTTGATATTTTTAATAATTTTATTGTAGTTTTTTTTTTTTTTAGACAGCACCACATCGTCTTAAAAAACATTAGAACCAGATTTTTTTGCGACGTAAGCAATGCCGTCACAAAAGATATTGGCAACAGTTGAAACAAAAAACCTTTCGCGACGGTGTTCTTTGTCGTCCCAAATAATCTTTTAGCGATGGCACGTTGTGCTGTCTTAAATAATCTTTTAGCGGCGGCAGGTTTCCCGTCGCAATAAAAACACTTTCGTGATGGCATTTTTGGCGTCGCAAATAACACTTTTAGCGACGACAACACAGTACCATCTCAAAAAATCTCAGATTTTTACATATTAAAGCCGACAGCAGAATTCCGTCGCAAAAAGGCAACTTTGCCATCACAAAAAAAAGGCGACGGCATTGTACCGTCGCTAAAACCTTTTACCAACGCCCTTTGTTGTGACCCCCCACTTGCCATCGCTAAAAGTCAATTGCCGTCGCAAAAAAGTTTTTGAGGCGGCATTTTGAGTATTTGAGACAGCATTTTGCCATTGCAAAAAATCGAAATTTTTGTAGTGTTAGAAACTCTAGTTTACAAATGGTGGTGAAATAATATTATGTTCCTCCAATGTTGTTGTGAAATTTTGTATTCCTCCATTGTCACTTTGTGTTTGATGTTTTGTGTT